GTGAGTCCACGCGAGGGTAAGATTAACGCGTATCGATAACATCTTTCGAGGATCGATGTTGCCACGGCACGGGAAGGCAGCGACCACGAACAAGAGAAGAGAGAAGGAGAAAGAGGTGGAAAAGACGAGGGTGAAAAGTCACCCTCTTTTGCCAATCTCCCTTCACCCTTCCCCTTCCCACCTCTCTCTCTCTCTCTTTTCATTTCTGTATATGTACATATATATATATATGTATATATATATATATATATATATATATATATATCTCAAGCCCGACCCCTGGCGTCCGGCCTGAAGGCGTCTTAATAATGGCACGTCATGGAAAAGCGTCGTCATGCCGGGAATAACGACGACCTGGAAGTGAAAGGAGAGTGAAAGAGAGAGAGAGAGAGAGAGAATGACTCGGAAGGGTTGAACGACGGAAGGAGAAGAAAAGCGGCGCGAGCGCGTGATTTATCTTCTCGTTTATATATATACATACATATACTTTTCTCTCTCTCCCTCTCTCTCTCTCTCTCTCCCTCTCTCCCTCTCTCTCTCTCTCTCTCTCTCTCTCTCTCTCTCTCTCTCTCTCTCTGTCTCTTTCTCTTTCTCTCTCTCTTTCACATTCCTGGTAAGCGAAAGAAAGAAAGAAAGAAAGAAATAGAGAGAGATGGATGCACGGTCACGCGTCAGTGGATTTTTATAGAGAAAGGAGAACGCGGATGAGCAACCATGTCCTTCGATTAAATCCAACGTTAAACGAATCTACGTTTTCTTTATTTCTTCCTTTCTCCTTTCTATCTATCTATCTATCTATCTAATTATCTACCTACCAATATATCTATCTATCTATCTACCTATCTATCTATCTATCTATCTATCTATCTATCTATCTATCTATCTCTTTCTCTCACTAGGCTTTGACTTTATCCATGGTTAATCGTTTTATTCCTCGCGATTCCTTTTCACATTTCAGTCACGGACATCGATAATCAGCTTTTCTTTCCGATGGTGGACAGTCGATGTCGTACTCCTGGGGCGATCCTTCCAATTCATCTCCTTTCTTTCTTTATCTCTTCGTTATTGTTGCCCCCGTAACTATCATTCGTTCAAGGTAAATTGAAGAAAGAGAAGAGATAGAGGTCTCCTACGGATCTTTCCCTTCTAAAAACTATACGATACCCTTTTCCGGTCTCTCTTCGTGGAAATGGTTCAGTGAATTAAAAGAAAGAATTTATTCTTTTTACGTATATATCTGTATGTGTGCGGTTCACGTGTGTCTGTCTGTATGTGTGTGTGTGTGTGTCCGTGTGTGTATGCGGTTATATACTGGGTGAACCCTTTTGTTTGAAGGAATCATTACAATTGGTAAGATACAATACTTTCGTCGAAAATAATCTAATCTCCATTCGTTTATTTATATTTCGACGAATATTATTATATAGAGTATTTGTTTAAGAATGAATGAACAAAGGTATGTACGATTATATACATTTTTATTTCATTGTCTACATTTGTTTTTTTTTTAATTTTTTTGTATTTCGAATAAAATTATTATATAAAATATTTGTTTAAAAAATGTATGAACAAAAGTGTTTATGATTATATATAGGATTATCCCTTTTATTTCAAGGAATCATTTCAATCGATAAAGTATAATATTTTCGTAGCGATTAATCTACATTCGTTTATTTTTATTTCGAACAAAATTATTATTTAATATATTTCTTTAGAAATGCACGAACAAAGTCGAAAAAGTATAAACTGGAGATTTGAAAAAATTTTTAACTGAAATAGATAGAACATATTTTTGTTCGATCGTAACTTTATTTCTATATCAAAAGGAATTGTTATAGAACGTTTGATAAAAAATGAAAAAACTAAATCGAGATAGTAAGTCGAAAAATTGGAAAAAAAAAATATTACATTGAAAAGTTATATATTTCTCGTTCAAATATTTTTTTTTTTTTCATTTGTTTCAAACGAATGATCTTTATTATTATCGATAAGAAATTTATTTCCATGTTCTAAGATATCTGAAAATTTGTAAAAATTTTAATTGAAAGGATATAAAATTTCTCGTTCGAATATTTTCTTCATTAATTTTGAACGAAATCGTTTTATCCGAAACGATCCTTATCATTATCGAAAAGAAATTAATTTTCACGTTTATTCGTAACCATCGTACATTCATTAACGAATGAAGAAATAAAACCGAGCAAGGGAATCGTAAAATTGAAAAAATTTTAATTGGAAGAATACAACATTTTTATTCCGCCATTTAATTCGAAGAAAATCTTTCGTTAAAAACGATCTCTGTTATTATCAAAAAGTTATTCATTTTTACATTCCTCGTAACTATCGAACATACATTCAGTAATGAATAAATAAAATCTAGCCGACAGAATCGAAAAATTCGAAAAATTTCAATCAAATGATAGACCTATTACGATAACTTTTTATTCCTTCATATGTTTCAAAGAGAATCCATTTTGTATAAATGTCCTTTATAATTATCAAAAAGAAATTAATTTCTCACGTTGTTGTTAATTATTCGTAAACATTCGTTGAAGAATGATTAAACAAGGATAAAAATTCCAAGGGAAATGGGAGAAGGGATGAAATTTTGAAAAATTTAATGGTTTACTTTTAACGACCCAAGTTCAGGAAGACTTTAGCTGGTAAGAAAGTTAACGAGTCACCCTCTATAGAAAGTCACTTAAATATGTATATATACGTGCATACGCACTTAGTTTACGTTGTTACATACAACATAAATATTACATAAATACATGTACATATATATATATATATATACACATATATATGCATATACACATACATACGTAGATAGACCTATATATCTCCTTACGTTACGTTAAGAAACAAAGTATCGTATGTCGAAATGTTGGCTCGTATGTCGTTAAGAATACTTCTTCGAAATAATCGCTCGAAAGGACTTCCACTTTTAGTCTTCTCTCTCTTCTCTCTCTTTCTCTCTCTTTCTCTCTCTCTCTCTTTCTCTCTCTATATATATATATATATATATATATATATCTTCTTTCTCGCGATATCGAAAAACGTCGTAGACTCCCTTGATGGAAAGAAAAGTAGTGTATATCCTCTTTCGACATTCCAATATCCCTTTCGTGTATCATCGGACTATCAGCCGTAGATACCTATTACATTTACCGGCTTTCGAACCTGTAGACCGAAGCTAATTCTACGATCGTGATACGCGAAGAAAACTAAAACTCAAATTTTCTATCTTCCTTCTCGTTTAGCCGAGAAGAAACTCTACGTCCAACTACTACTACTACTACTACTACTACTACTAATATTACTACTACTAATATTACTACTACTACTACTACTATTACCTACCTTCCTACCATGACTTTATTCCTTCGGGAATCTAATTCTCTCGCGCCCTAACCAGAAAACTTGGCGACTTCATTTCTGGCGCGGTGTCGAATGTCGTTAAAAACTCGTCGAATAATCCGATGAACGAGTTTACCTTGCCAGAGAGAAAGAGAGAGAGAGAGAGAGAGAGAGAGAGAGAGAGAGAGAGAGAGAGAGAGAGAGAGAGAGAGAATAAGACTCCAATGGATGCTACGAAGGAAAGTATTGCCTCCGAAGGGTTCTCCCTTACGATCTTAACTAAGAAAAAAGATAAAAAGATAGGAACGTCCGAAGTGTCAATTTCAATCGATTTAAAACTGATAATTCCTTCCTTAAAGTTTCATTGCGATTTTTTTATCTTGTTTTGTTTTGTTTTGTTTTGTTTTTTTTGTTTTTATTTTTTCGTCAATTAAGGTTGCATCCTTAATCCTTATTCAGGAAAAGTTAATGGACTTTTTCAAAAGTTTTTTATTTACTTTGATTTTTTTTTTCTTTTTTTTTTTTTTTTTTTCTCTATCGACTCGAAAGCAACTGACGATTTTATCCCTTTTATTAATCTGTGTTTCAATGATAACGCGGTCGATAATTGACATCAAAAGTGAACCATGAGGTGAAGTAAACATTTCATTTTTTTTTCCTTCTTTCTTTTTCTTTTACTTTTTATTTTTATCGCAAAAAAAAAATGTTCGTTTATAAATCGAACGTCGATAGTAAACGTAAAAATAAAACGTATTTGCGTGAGCTCGAGGACGAGTTGAAAAAATGAATTTATACGATAGAGAAAAGAGAAAAAAAAATAGAAAGAGAAAAAAGAAAGGAATAATAATCGTTCCTTCTAATCGAACGAAAAATAATCGATTAGGTGAATTCGAAAGTAAAGTAAAACGGAGCATAAATTTTCTGTCAAAGCAGAGATATAATTTTTCTATTTAAGCTCCTGCGCTTTGTGGTAATTGAATCGTCGAGGGAGAAAAACGAAAGTTTTCGAACCCTTTTGAAAAACGTGCCCTGTATAAATTTATAACAAAATCTAGCGCGAACAAACCGAGACGGTGTTGTAGTAGTTGTAATGATAGTAGCTTTGGAGGATGGAAAAGAGTGAGGGAGACAGATAGAGAGAGAGGAAGGAGGAGGGAGGAGGGGGATGGGAAAGGGTACGTTCGCGGTACGAAGCATTAAAGTCGCTGTAAAATCGCAACTTTACTTCAACGAAACGGCATGGCCGCGCATTTTAATCACCATCGTTCTCATTACGAGCACACCAGAGCGCCGTCGTTTATCGTTGGAAAGACGAAATAAAAACTCGGGTTCTTCTTTCTATCTTTCTTTCTTCCTTGTTTTTCTTCTTTCTTACCTTTCTTCCTTCCTTCCTTTCTTTCTTTCTTTCTTTCTTTCTTTCTTTCGACAACGATGACGACGGCGCGAGAAAAAATTCGTAACTCGAAAAGAAAGAAAGAAAGAAAGAAAGAAAGAAAGAAAAAAAAAAAACAGCAAAAGAAACATAGTGTTTCTCAAAAACTTTCATGTATTTCGTCGTTTGCAACTTTTAATTTATGGGTTGTTACAGTCAGGACATTTTCAAATTACGAAGTAAAAAGAGATATAAAATAAAATGA